TGGAAATTAGCATCTTGATAAAATTTATCAGGACATTACAAACATATATGCTGTCATAAATATATTAGTAGATTAGTATTGTACTTCTGTAGAAGTAAAGACAGTTCATAACTGCCAGAATAAGTATGCTTTTATTAAGATAACAAGAAGTCAATGTATAATGTATACCACTTGGATAAGTGTTATTTTTTTTTTTTTTTTTTAAATGCTGGACAGAAATTGTGAAATGATATGCATTTAAACAATTTTACTTTTTTAAAATTATATGTGTAGAAATGTTAAACAGTTTCAACTGTGTGTCATTTCTGCTGTTGCCTTGGCATTACTGTTTTTAGAATGGATTAAGGACTTTAAAAAAGACAATAGATAATAATGCAAAGAAACGAGGGCTGTGGATTCGAAGTTGGAGTCATGGAGTCGGAATCAGAGTTGGGCAGATTTTTGGGATAAAAGGAGTCGGAGCTGGAGTCACTAAAAACAAGTCGACTCGGACTCCAGTTTTTGTTGGACAGTTTAAATTTGAAGTGAATTAAAAAAAAAATTAATGACAAACTGAGTTATTATTTTTATTTATGGACTATATACATTAATAAATAGTTATTTTCCATTTTATTGATATGTTAATAAATAATATAAAGGAAGAGAATGGATGTGATATTTGCCATTAGTGATTAAACTGATTCATTTAGTTACAAATCGTATTGGTAAATTTAGGTAAGAGGCAATAGCAGCAAGAATTCCCAAAATTGATGCCATTCTTAGGAGGTGAGCAGGAAAGGGAGCAATTATTGACCAAGCAATGTGATGATATAGAAGTTGTTAGAAATAAAAACTTTTTTAGACGATGTAGATAACCTTAATGTTTCACTAACAGGAAGACTATGGAATGATCTGTCCAGAATTGGAAACTCTTCTTTCTACACTGTATATAGCCATAAAAAAGTTACAATCTGAAGAATTAACAGGAGGCAAAAATGGAAGAATGAGATGTTTGTTCTTTCTGAAATGGAGGGTTTATTCAAGGAATCATTTCTTCAATGAAGAAAAGAGAAACTAGTTTGCTAGACAAGGAGATCTTGTTGGGTTCAATATATGTAGATCCAAAACACCGAATTTTGTTGGATGACGAACAAATTAAGAAGGCAAAGAAAGCCATCTATGAACTTTTCAATAAGAATGAAATTATTTCGAGAACAATTTGAATCATGACAGTCAAACTGCAAATAATGCAACTGAGTCTCTATCATCCTCTTTCAGTGATGAATTGGATTTTGAGAAATATTATGGCTAATATTGAAAAGGCTACGGCAAAGCGAATGAAAATAAAGAACCAAGAGCCTTTTGATATAAAAATGAAAAAATACGAACCAGATTTCTACATAGCATTTGAAGAAATAGAGAAACATGATTGCTCTTGCAAGATATCTCTTTTAGAAGTTATAAAATTCTGTCCTGAAAAGTCAAAAGAAGTAGTCCTAACAGTAGCAGCTCTTCCTCCTACTCAAGTCAGTGTAGAAAGACTCTTCTCAGCTCTGAAGTTTATCAAATAGATCTATGGTCCTTCAACAATGAAGATCTTGCCGATGCTATACTGTTTCTTAGAAATAACCTAATGCCAGTTTTTCCATCTTATAATAAATGCTAATTAACATAAATAATTTGCTATGCTATCATTTTTTTTTTTTTTTTCCTTTCCCTGTAGCATCTATTACTTCTTTTATATTTAAAAAAATACGCTTTAATCCATTTGTATATGTTTGTTTACATATACATATGTGAGGGAGTCGGAGTTTTTAAAATTCCAGAAGTCGGTGTCAGTCATTTTCCCTACCGACTCCACAGCCCTGAAAGCAACAAGTAGTAATGATGAAATAGCTCAAATGTTATTGAATGGCTTCATAACTGTGTTTAGTTGTAACTGCCACTGGAAGAAGCAAAACATATCTGATAATCCAATGTGCATTAAATGAATTAAATATAGGGTGAGGATTTATTTCTATATACTGATTGGTATGTTAGTTGCGCTGGAAAACTAAATATTTTTTCTTTGTGTTAGAGCAAAGCTGATAGCTTATTTTAAATAAATTCCGTTCATTCTTATGTTATTTCTTTTTGTTTACGAATGCAGATTAAAGGAAAATCATTAGTTCTCATTTTCTTTTGGGCTAAAAATTGTTTGGTTTTCTGTCTGGTAAAAAAGAAGGCTGAAATAGAGCATATGAAATTTTAAGTTTTTTGCATCATAGGAAGCTATTTTTCTGAATACAGCTCAAGAGTAACACTGAATTCTTTCAAACTTTATTAAAATAAAAATTTAAAAAAAAATTGTTTCATTCCTTTATGTATATCATTTTAGCTCTCTGTAAATCTGCTTGTGATTGATATTACATATATCTTCTGCTGATATGAAATTTGGCTACTACTGCTCTGTAGCTGCATATTATTAAAGATCCTTCCTTTCTAACTATATGAATGTATTGTTTAAGGCAAATCTAAAATGTTCAGACTTGTGAATAAAAATGTAAAGACTTACGAAGCTTGCACATTATGCTGTCCTGATTCAGATGTTGAACTCTAAAATAGCTGTCACATGAGTTAAAAAGTAGCAATGTAGGTAATACAGATTATTTCAGTTTTAGAAAGCTGGCTTCTCACTGGAAATGATCTAAAACATCAGTTATATTTAGAATTCCATCTGAAACTTGATAATATGGCATATGTTTGAAGCTCCGCTCAGAATTTATGAGAGTTTTGTGCTGTTATTCTTTTCCAAACTCTGTTCCGAATAGTATCTCATGTGACAAATGCAATAGTGTGTACAACTATAGTGATTGATATTCAGCATCTTAGTGAAACACATGTTCATTGCCACCAAGACAAAAATAACAATCATCTTGTCTTGAATATCATCACTGTACATATCACAAAGCTTAAGGGTAGCTTAAGAATGTCTACATGTTTCTGTGCAGAGTTGGGAGGAGGATACAGTTAGATCCTCGAGGGGACTACCTTTATTCTTTTGAATAACTGGTTGCATTGTTGATTTAAAAATTTAATTATTCAGTGTACTTACAAGATCTTGTTTTTGTTTTTTAAGAAGTTTCTAACAAAAGTTGTTATTATTATTATTACTACATGCTTTTATTTATGTGTTGAATAATATTATGTATTGATTATACTTATATAATAACCCTTTGATTGTATAATTATAATATTTTTTCTGAAAATGTGAGTTTATATTTAAAAAAAATAATCTTTTAGTTTAACCTCTTTGGTTGCATCTCATTTTTCAGAATGATGTTAAGAGTTAACACTGTAATAATTTATATTTGTAATGTTCTTTTTTTATTTTATCACTTATAGAATTTTACTGATACTTCATATTGTTATTCAATGATATGGAACTATGTTTGATTCTGTATTTAAGTAAGATTTTTGAGTCATTATGAATACAATTACACTGTTGATTTTCTATCATCTTAGATTCTAAAGCCTTATAGCATTATATCTGGTATTGTAAGAATTTATGTTTTTAACCCTCTAGTTTTAATCAATAAAACATGATTATCTTCTAATCATCATTGAAACTTAAATACAAATTAGTAGGAATAATAAAAAGTAGCAGTGAAGTAAAATTATTATATAACTGAAGCTTTTAAAGACAAATCTAATTTTCTGAACCACTGTACATATGATGATGAAACTCTGCTAATCTCTGTTTAGAAATTTTAGAGTTTAATACTAATGTAAAACTGATCTCAAAGTCTGAAAGTTAAGAGCAATTAAGATTGTGTGTTTCCTTTGTGTCTGTTCCGGTTTGAATAGAAACTTTTCTCTGCCTCGGAATGGCAACAGTCAAAACTTTACTTTTGATTTGTTTTGATGCAGCTCGAACGCTGCTGATGAGAAGTAACATTAAATTAGATTAATTTGTTTGGTATTTTAATAAACTATTTTTAAAACCAGATTGAATATTTTGAACATAGAATTATCACTCAAACACTACTTATAGAAATTTAGATTCATCGTAGAACGTTGTCGAACACAGTCCATTCGTCTATCAGAGCACGCATACATAAATTTTGCTGCATCGTCCAGGAATCGAACCTGAGCCGCCTGTGTGGCAGGTAAGCAGTGTCATTTCATCTTGGATCTCGAGGCATTTTGAAGTAGAAGCCATGTGCTCTATAACTTATATTATTTTTCATGTGCTTTATTTTTCTAATCCAATCTAAGGTTCTAATATTTTGTCCCTTTTCTTTCTCTCTGTCTATATATATGTATGTCTGTGTGTTTGCAATAGCTGAGCATTTTTCTCCTGCTGAAAATGGTTTTACCTATCAGTATTTAGCACTGCAACTCTTGTCATTGAGAACATTCGTACAGATGCAACATATATTGCACTCATAAGCAAGAGTAGAGACAGTGTGAACAACCAAGCATTGTATAGAAATTGAACTCATTTGCAGTTAGCTTCTATTGACTCACATGCATCCAAGATGGTTAACTGCTTTTGTATTAATAAATAGCAGGATAATGTGTATGACTTATGTGCTGATAGCACTGCAAAATCTTAACTTTCTGTGAAATTGATATAGTCTGAGTTTGGCATTGCTACTGAAGCTCAAATTTCTCATTGATCTCACTTCATTGATTGTGAGATTAAACAATTCTTTCATATATGTGCAATATCTGTCAATCATAAATTTATAATGCAAGCTGGTTCATTTGTGCCCACTGCAGTGCATAACTGGAATGTAAGCTTAACTTATTGATGATCATCAAAGGGTTAAGTAAAATATCCCAAAAGTTTTTTTTAAATGTTATTCGAGTGAGCAATTATTATTCATTTAGTAGCTTTTGGTCGTAAATATAATAGTTCATTTTGTCTTAGAAATAATTAACTCATGAGATGGATGGAGATGAAAGTTTTAGCGTTATTTAATTAAAGTTGTTTTGAAAATTAAACATTTTAATATAAGAAAAATAAATCGTTTTAGTTGGCACTGAAACATCGACAAGGGAAACATCATAAGATGAGAATTGTAATTTTTGTTGGAAGTCCTATTGAAGATGATGATAAAGAGGTAATTTTATGGCCAGATTTTGTATTTTCTGATTGATTATTTTACTAACTATTTTATGAGTAAATAAATAATGATAAATTTGGTAATTTTAGCTATTTCAAATCTTGTGCTTTGCATGAAGTAAAATAATTATTAATATTACTAAATATTTCTATTATATATTTGCCTTGTTTGCCTTTTCAAAATGTACTTCATGTCTGTGACAATGAAAATTCTTTTTTTCCCTGCAGATTATAAAACTTGCAAAAAAATTCAAGAAAGAGAAAGTCTGTGTTGATATTGTCAATTTTGGAGAAGATGTATGTTATTATAAATACGTGTATTAAGTAAAATTTTATTATACTGATTTATTTTAAGATTGATTGATTTTAAGTATTAGAATTATTAATTTGTGTAGTTATACTAGAAGTTTGTTTATTTTAACTTTGTTGAATTTCTTAAGAATCTTTTAAAAAAGTGTACATACTGGAGAATGAACCTTTGTGCAAGAAAAATGTTTGTGGTAAACACAACACGATTATTTGCAAAAAAATGTGAAATGTAAGTTTTATTTTGAAATTATTGCTGTAAAAATTTAATATTGCATGAGTACTAAATTTCATTTGCACTCAAAAAGAAATCAGTTTAATTTTTGTTGTTAATGATAAATAATTTTCATTTTTTCAGTTTAAAATTGTTTTAAAAAAATACAATTTTATTAGACTTATTAAATTAAAAGTATATTTCTATATTTTATACACTCTGTTTTTATTATTTAAATGTTTTTCTTCAATTACACAAGCAATTTTATTTTTGTTTTGTTAAGAAAAACGCTTCGGGCGTATGGAGCCCGACACGCGTCCTCGTGTTGCTAAAAGTAGCGCGCGTCTTTGCGCGTTAAACATACTGAACAATGCTTAACATTCGTGCGGCTCATTTCCCCCCTTTTTTTTAATTCCTAGGTTTGCAAAAATTATTTTAATTCTATAAATTAAGCATCATGTATTTTTGAGTACTTATAAGAAGTAAATTATTCATGTGTCTCATAACTACATTCAATATCTAACAGAATGTTTTCCATGTGTCCCATCCCTTTTCATAGGTAGATAATTCTAGTGCATTTTGTTATAATTAAACAATCCGTTTGGATTCTTTAGGTAAATATTAAGAGGTAAGGAGGTGAGTTTTCAATACTGAAATAGAAGTAAAGTGTAATTTTCTTCGAAATAAATATTCTTTATTGCAGTTTTAAAAGAAATTGATGATCCCTTTTGCTGGAAGTAGAAATTTTATGTTACATGTATATCAATCAATCAATCTAAATGCATTCTAATTAAAAAGAATATATGGGCTGACCCCTAACTGATGACCTCCATATTAAGTGGGAGATGAGACTGCCCAAGCTTAAGCCATCCTGGAGATGTAGAAATTCTCTTGCCAAGGCGCAACAGTTTTTTACACATTCCTCTAAACTGACCGACCAACTGAAGTCACTACTACTGGTAGCCAGAGGCCATGATCGGCTGGGCCTATAAACCTGAAGATTTGACTGGTTGTCTTGCTATTATATGTAGATATATGATTATCTTTTGATAACTAAGTTTAATGAACACCAAGTTTTTAACACTAATTTTGCCATTCTATAAAAAATTAGTCATTATGTGCAAATGCAACTGTAGTTAAAAGGGTAATAATTTAAATTATTTTGCTTTCTAAAACCATGAAAGAAATGAATAAAAAGTAGTAAGCAATATTGAAAATGGTAAAAGAAATACAGGATGCAGCAGCATTCATAGCATAATTTGACTTCCGTAGTACAATGATGTACTGCATGAATGTGCGCCAGCTCGTGTCGCATTCGTGTACTAATGAGCTGCCATTTTGAGTGTGACAGTGATATGGATCGATGGAGTGCACAACATCATGCCTTTGCTGTTGAAAATTATTTCAAGATTAACTACTCTGTTATTGCTACCCAGCGTCTATTTCGACAACATTTCAACTTGATACGTCATGGGAAAGTTCAAGATGGACGGACCATTGCGACAGACATTTCCAGGAAGAGTAATTTCCCATTTTGGTGACCTTTCCTAGCCACCTCACTCACCTGCTCTTTCATGTGCAGACTTTTTCCTTTAGGGTCACCTGAAGCAAGAAGTTTTCCAAACATGCTGTGCTACAATTCCTGAGTTGAAGGATCGCATCAGAACTGCCTTTGGCAGTGTCTCGGGGAATACATTAAGCAGAGTTATGGCAAGCTTCCAATGCCGCCTAGATGAGTGTGTTGTGCAGAGGGGGCATCATTTGACAGGCATCATATTCAAAAAGTAATCTACACAATGGACAATGACTTACACATTAGTAAATGGCATACCTTTAATTATTAATTGACATAAGAGGTAATAAATAAATTACAGTTACTGCCTTATGGTGTGTTTTTAATATCTTACTATGAATGCTGCTGCACCCTGTATAATGCAGCATTAATAATAATTTTTTAAAACATGAAAAAATAATAAGCTAAAGAACTGAAAACTTGGAACAGAAATAAAACAATTACCAGGTTCTAAAGTCAAATAAATAAAAAAAAACAGAAAGTCTTACGGTAAAAAAGAAAAAAATATAAATTAATTAAAAAAATTTTAGAAAATTAAGAGTCCAAATCTTTTAAACGAATATATGGATTTCATTGATAAACTTAAAGCAGATAAAAAAAAGCCTTGCAAAAATTAGTTATGCAGAATACCCAAAAGTAAATAAATAAATAAACAAAATCCATACATATGATATGAAAAGGAAGGGGACTAAGTGCAAAGCTAATGCCAATTTATATGAAAAAATAAGCAGAAAATGGTATTTGCTGCATAGATTCTAAATGCTGAGATCCACGAGATTTTTGCATTGTCTCTTGAGTATAAAAAGAGAATACGGATAAGCACAATTGCCCACTGACATCTATTATTTGGGAGAGAAGGGAGGGGTAATTGTTTTAACTGGCAATAGCAGTCAATTTTAAGAGATTGTGAAACAAAAAAAATAAGGAATTATTTTAGGAAATAAATGTATAAACGGTGCTCGACTGTGTTAGCATAAATCTGTATTATCAATAATTTGGCAATGTATTCAAATCTGGCTTTTTGCTTGGAATACATCTCAAACTGGAACTTTCTACATCCAAACATCTTTGATTTTACAGCTACTGAATATAATTCCCGATATCAACCTGGTTAATGATTATTTATTATTTTTTGCTTTCAATACCACATGACTATCAACACATGGCAGCTTCTGATATGATTCATCCAGTGATGTCCAAACAGTTTTTTTTTAAATGTTTGTAAATGAATGCCGAACAGTATGGTAGTCTTTTATGTCGATATTACAGTTGGCTGCCATTACACACTTCAGCTAACTGCAATGCAAAGTGTTCAATGTGTTCACGAGAAATTTAACAGAAATTTCTTTACGTATGCAAAAAAAAAAAAAAAAAAAAAAAAAAAAAAAAAAAAAAAAAAAAAAAAAGATTTTGTAAATGATACCCATAAGCCAAAAAATTACATTTATTGCTGTTTGAATTGAGATTGGCTGATTTGTTATTCGGATGATCCTGCAATCAGCACTAGAGCTAGTAGGAGGGCACTGGGCAGCAAGGTTTAGGGAAGGCAAAAGTTTTTGAATTCATAGAAGCACCAAGCAACAAAAGTAAGGGATGGCAAAAATCTCCATAATTTAGGGAGGCACTTGGCAGCAGAATTTACCACCTGCAGAAGCTGCATCAGACTGTAAAACGGCTAGTGTCGGCCCCAGATAAGCCTTAAATATAAGTAGGAATTTATTTATTCGGGGCTCAGATAAGTTTTAAGCATGTGTAGAAATAGATGTAGGTATAATAAATAACTACATTAATGTAATTTAGAATTAACTTTATCAGTGTGCTTTGCTTGAACATTTATGAAAGTTCAAGTCACTTCATTTAGCAAGAGAAATTAATTATTGGTTGTTCGTCTATACTTTAAAAAAAAAACAAAAATGGAATTTTGTATTCAGATTGCTGATTTTTGATAGTGAAATATAAAAATGCATTGTAATATTGGCGAACACTATGCTTGATTAAGCTATGAATGACAATAATGATAATTTTATGCTTTCATATTAACAAAAAAATCAGAAAACCATTAGTTTTTGTCTTGTCTCTTCAAATTTTATTATAACAGCTCACAACATTTGTAATGTTAGTTTTCTAAACATAATAAATTTTATTACTACATTTACTGAAAGAGACCTTCCTAGGATAATTGTTAGTTTACAGTAGTTTTATCTTTAAATGAGTCTTTCCCACAATAATAATTTATGACTACATTATTCAAAGAATATAGAAGTCTTAAAAAAATGCCTCTTGTGCTCAAATTAAAAAAAAAAAGGCTTCACCTAGTATATCTGTATGCAATTTTAACCATTTGACTGCTAAGCAATTCTTGCAAGAACGCATGAAAACTGCTGGACATATTTTGACTTGATGTTGTCTATTGACTTATATTTTATTATAATTATAATTATATTTTGACTTGATGACGGAGCAACAAAGACACACTGAAACTTTCTGCGCTGCTTCGCGGTTTTCGAGACAAATGAACGCAGCACTTTTGCACCGCGTAGCAGTCAAACGATTAATAATGTAAATGCAGAAGATTTACAGAAATTTATATTAATTTTAATTTTATTAAATGATTCCATTTTACTATTTCCATCAGAAATGGAATACATAAAAATATTTAAATGGTGGAATTCATAATCAGATTTTTTTAATTATATTTGTAGAAGAATAAATTTATGTTTTCTAGTATCATAATTATAAAAATTTTAAGCTGGACTGTTAATGAAGTTTTTCGGAAGTACAATAAGGAAACTCCTTTTGTAATAAAATGATTTACCATAATTTAAGTATGTCTTTCATTTCAACTCTAAGGAATGAAAATATAGTTGTTCATGGTAGTAAAACACCTTACTCTAGTGTAACCAGAAGTCATCAAATTTTATCAAAGCAAAATTTAGTACAACAGCATTGGGTTTAGTCACACCAATCTCATAATACATCACCACTAGTGTATAGTGAATGCTAGCTAAGCTTTATGATAATAGCTGCAAATTTGAAGATTTTCAGATATTGTAAAATTTGATTTTCCAATTAATAGGATTTAAGGTGAAGTAATAAATGAAGATGGTATAATAGAAGTTTTTCATTATGATGACAATTCCCCAATCAGAAAGCAATTAGCAGATGTCGAAATCTGTAGTATGATTCTAAATTAAGAAAATATCACTACTCGTAGTGAAGAAGGTGACAAATAGGTTACTGAAAATGAAAAAAATTTAGTTAACAATTTAGTGGGAATTTTCATCATGGCAACTACAGATCTTGAATAATGGAACTTTATAACTGGACAAGAAATTATGTGTATCATTAGAACTGAAGAGAAAGTTTTAGCACAGAAAAAAGTAATTTACATTAAAAGAAATGTTTAATAAAGCAAATTAATAAATACTCAGCTTTCTTTTTGTGAATTTTGATTGCCTTAGGGTCGTAAATGCTTTATCATTTATCTCTATTTCATATTTTTAATTTTATAATTGCTATATATCATCTTATTAGATTTGAGCATGATCTAATACCTGGAATGAAATTCTGGTGAATCTGGATCTCGAACTTTGTATTCTAATGGTTGAACTCATGCGAAATTCTTCTCACATTATAGGCAGCTTACAGAGGTATTGGGAACATAGTGTAGCCACATTTTACTATCAGCGTAGTTCTACTGTAATGTTCATATGGCATTTTCTACATCAGTGTGCAACTGTCAGATTGACCAGTGTGCATCAGGATTCATCACCCTTCAAATACTTCAACTGCCTCACAGAGAGCCATTTAGTGTGTTGTAAAGTCACTATGCAATGGTAATTTGACCTAGATTCAATTCTAGGTGAATGGGCTGGCTACATGGGGGGGGTTTCTTAGTTTTCCCCATGTCTAAGGTGGATAAGAACCAGTTTCTCTCAAAAGTCCTCCAAAAAGGCATCTGTTCCTTTCAGCGGATAACCCTTGTATACTTTGTCATAATCAAGTAAACCAAACCATTGCTCCACAATCTAACTGCAACAAATTTTGCACTTTTAATTTTCAATGAGCAGTGCACAGTTGAGTTCATATTGTCAATACAATATGACAGTAATGCTTTTTTTGTTTCCACTTTACTATGATATTACATACACTGGACTTATGTAGATTAAAATGTAGATATATAATAGGTAACAAGCTGTAAATCTCACAGACAGATTTCCTGAAGTTTATCTTTGAGAGTATTGATTTATGTTGTCTTGTTGAAGTTGTAATATTTATAGATTCATCTGGCTTTTATATCATGACTAGCATCTTACATTTCCAAGGGATAGAGCATTTTTTTAAGTGCATGTTTTACCTGCTAATAAATTTTTTTCATACAATATAAAAATATATCATGCATTATTTAATAGGAGATAGATCAAATGTCTGTTATTTCAAATGTGCATCTAATGTTAAGTTGACATTAAAATTTTGGGTCATATGCTAATTAATTGTTATTGAATGTGCTTCTAGAATAGTTTACTGCTGAAGTTCTTGTAGTATAGTGAATGAGATTGGCACAGTATTTCTGACAAAATCTCCGAGGAACATTACGTTAGGTAACATTAGACTTAAACTTCAAGAGAAAAAAGTATATGTGAACATGTTCTTTCTTTATTTCTTCCAGGTGATTATGCTATATTTTCATATAACAAAAAATAAGTTTTGAGTTTTGCAAATAATTTTTTTTTTTTTTTTTTTTTTTTTTTTTTAACCACATACTGTATTGAGACATCCCTCAGAAAAATTCTGCTTTGAAACACCCCTTGGCCAATACAGTTTATCTGAAATCTGTATATATATACAGTCAAAAGTCTTTAATCCGGACTTGTCGGGACTTCGGCGATTCCGGATTATCGGTTTTTCCCGGATTATAGATCATCAGTTTAAATCTGGTAAGATGGCATGCAGAAATTATAAAATTAAAAATATGAAACCGTAATTTATAAAATAAAGAGCAATTATGATCTAAAGGGTATCGAAATTTACAAAAAAAAAAAGCTTAATATTTATTTGTTTACTTTATTAAACATTTCATTCAATGCACGCATGCGTAAAGCATACATTACGTGTAGTCGAAATTAGAAAATTGTAACCAGAAAACTATTTGATGTGTATTCGTGATATTTATAATGACGAGGAATTTGATTTAAATCTTATCAAAGACGGAGTACATCAAGATGAAATACTACATTTAGTAAAGAATTATAAGCCGAATAAAATAAAAACATCTGCCCTGAAGATGATAAGGATAGTGCTGAGAGATCAACCTCGAGTTCTTCACGCGACATGATGCCCCCCCCCCCCCAGCGTGAAATTGATAAACAGATTTCGGAATGGTTAGAGAAACAAAATATATGAATTTATCCATTTTTGCAGCAATTCCACTTTTTGTTTGATGGATATCGAAACATGTTTTCGCTTTGTAGATCCTTTGGCAGCTCCAGAATCCGAAATTCTTTTTGACATAATCGAAAGTTCAAGCTTACTTATAAAGCTTATAAAATTGCTCTAACAGTGTGCAAAAAATAATAAGCCGGATCCAATTCGAAGATTAAGGAACAACCCAATCTGCAACGTTAAGTGAAATAGATAATTAGATAATTTTAGCTTAGCTTATACCGTCTGTTATACATTAAACGCAATGCGTAAACGTATTATGCGCATGTGTAAAGGTATGCGCATGCGCAGAAAGTTTGTAGCTTTGAGGTCCGGATTATAGATCATTCCAGATTATGGACGTCCGGATTAAAGACTTTTGACTGTATATATTATTGCAAAAGATGGCGTCTATTATTTGAAAATGAAAGTCTTAAATGAAGCTTGGAGGGTTACTAAATTAAATGTAAAATGCTTTTTGATTCTGATCAAAAACATTTATTCAATTTTAAGTTGTCCATTTTTTAAGTCCAGTTGAAAATGTATGTACTATAAACTAATATTACAGTTGTATTGTATAAATATATGGTACTCTTCTGTTATCAGGTCCGGATTCAGAAATGTATGAATGCATATGTGTGTGTGTGTGTATATAGATATACATATGAACACTTAGGCTGCTATCAAACGTCGGTTTGTTTCGGAAGAACAACTGTTTGGAACAATTTTTCTGCTTTGTCACAACAGCCAATCACCACAGATCGCTTTGGGGTTAATGCAAGGGAAACTGGTTCCCCATTACAAACAAGCTGATAGCATTCAAAGCTGATAGCTGATTGGTTGAAAACGAACAACCTGCAACTTTTTTTGGAAAGAAAGGAAAAAGTCGCGCATCTTTCTTTCAATAGTAAACCAGGCAGAAAAATTGTCCGAAACAGTTATTCGTGTGAAACAAACGCCGTGTGATATGGGCTTTACATACATACATGCATACATTTTTAAATTCAGTTCCGATAACAGAAGAGTATCAAATATATCAGATGGAATTTATTTCTGTAGTTAAAAATATTTTCATAATAAATGATTTTTTTTAATGAAAGTAATTGTTCCATTTTATGTTACAGGCTGTAAACACTGACAAGTTAACATTGTTCATAAATACACTTAATGGCAAGGATGGTAGTGGGTAAGTTAATAGATCTGCTGATTATAATTTTTGAACTAATTTTTTAAATATTTTTGTATTCGCAAACATCACTTCTCCAAAAGTGTTTTCTGCGTATATCTTGAAATATTAAAATGAATAATTTTGTTTAAAAACCATGCTTTTATTTAGTTTTAATAGTAAACATTATATAATAATACAGTAGACTCCCATTTATCTGCGGAGCGGACTATCCGCGCTAGCCGAACAAAGTTTTTTTTTTTTTTTTAAACAAGCGTAAAGCAAAGAAAATAAAAATGTTCACAAAACTGAGAGAAATGATAAATTTGCTAACATCGTGCTTATTTATGGCAAAAATATCCTAGGCCTTCTCGGAACCTTCCCCTCTGATGAGTAAGTGATTTCTTACTCACCCTTGCAGTGCCCGCTGCACCGCCCTCTCTCGTCTTAATCTTACTGACTTTTCCACTTCCTCCCACTCGCCATTGTTAGTTTAAGCCTGATAGTGTTTGCGAACTGGTGGGAGTTAATTTCTTATCTTTTAATATGTTCAGCGCTTGTGCTTTTTGGTTTTGTGTTTTTCGTTACCGATTTAAAATGTCAGGAAAACGAAAGAAGGTTATGTTGACGATTGCACAAAAACTAGAATTAATTTCCAAAGTAGCAAACGGTGCTACAAAGCAGCAGATGGAATTGGATTACGGAATCGTGGAAACAACAGTGCGTGACATTCTAAAGCAAAAAGACAAACTGGTGAACTTTACATCAATGTCGGACAGTGCTTCTGCAACGAAAATGCGAAAACCTATGAAGGGTTCTACCTTTGATGAGCTAGAAACGGCATTGACAGAGTGCTTAGCTCAAGTTCGAAAAGAGAGTACTTCTGTAAATAGTCATATCATTGCAGCAAAGGCAAAAACCTTTTTTGAGTTGTTAGGCCTGAAAGGAAATTTTGATGCGTCTTCTGGCTGGTTGACTCGTTTTAAGCAGCATCATGGAATTCGAGAAATTGGACTTCACGGGGAGAATATATTAAGCGTAATAAGCTAAAATAGTAAGCATTAGTTAAACATTTCCTGCTGTTTATTTTACGTTGTATTGTACATAAAACGATTTTTCAAAGTTTGAATGAGTGTTTTCTTATTTGCTATACCCGTTTTTAGCTTTTTTCGGATTATCCGTGCTTTTTGTTATCCGCGGCAGCCGCGCCACCCAATTCCACTGATAATCGGGAGTGTACTGTAATTATTATTTTTATTTTTTAAGAATTTTAACTCTTGAGGCCTGTATTTTTTATTTTTTTTTTATATCATCAGTCACCATTATATAGTCTGCGACATTTCTATACTTGCTGGAAATATTATGTTAGACCTTCATTGTCTCTACCCAATTCGCATTTTTATGAGAGTATTTTATTTCATATGTAAGTAATAAACAATCAGATTGATTGTCTGTCTTTGAGCTTACAGAGGGTTATAATTCCAATCAAACATTCTGAAACTTCAGTTCAGATAAGCTGTTGATAAATCATGGTAATTTATGTCTAGAAACAGTGAGTTTCTCTTTCTCTCTGTCCCCCTCTTTTTATGTTGATGAAAGACATATCACATGCCAACTTTTACGAATTTTTTGTAATTTTTACGAAAATGCGTTTGGCTCTACGATTTTACGATCATAATCCATTTTTTACGATTTTTTTCCTTTTTCAAGTGTTTTCAGTGATTTTTGTCAAAATTTTAGAATTTTTCGCCAATTTAATCGTGTTTTACCGCCAACTACCAACTACTTCGAATCCAGTAACCTGCGGTTTCTCCCAACTCGCAGCTTAACCAGCCAATCCAATGCGCTGAACTTGTTTCTCCCACTCTTTTCTTTGTGGGTGCCAGATTATTTTTTTCGCTTTCGCTTCAGCAGCAAGGGAATTACTCAGCGAGCGTGGATTGTCGCATTCTGTTTTTTTTTTTTTTTTTTTTTTTTGTTTGTTTTTGTTTGTTTGCACGTGCTATGAAATTTCTTAATACGTCATCGTTACGAAATGAGTTCAAAAAAACCATATTCTCAATATTTTTGGCCTGCCTACAAAGCCGAATTTCCAACAATTAAAGAATCCTTCAAAGGAAATAACTATGCATTTTGCAACGTGTGCGTGTGTGACTTCATAATAAGTCACGGTGGAAAAAGCGACATTGTGAAGCATGTTAAGTCTAAAAATCATGAAGTTAATGCTTTGGCTTCGACAACGTCAAAGAAAGTGGATAATTTTTTTTTTCAAATTCGGCTACGAATTCGGATGCCGATGTCATTTTGGCAGAGTGTTTGTTTACTGCATTCCTCATCGAACACAACGTGCCGCTAAGCGATGCCGATCACGCCGGTCAACTTTTCAGACGGATGGTGTTTCATCTTTTGACAAATTGAAAATTCATCTTTTGAAAAGATTCGTTTTTTTTTATTGATAAAGTTCCATTTTTGTTAGCAATTAAAGAAAATGAATGCCATAATGATGCTTTAGATGAACTACAGAACCAATTTTCTGCTGCACAGTTTGAAGACTTTGCCAGTTCTGGAGAAGATAGACTTGATGTCCTCGTTGGTACCTTAAAAAGAATAAAAAGAGCTGATGGAATACCAAAATATGATAGTCTAGCAAGAGTTTTATGTGCTATTCTGGTAATTTCACACAGTAATGCTGAGTGCAAGAGAGTCTTCAGTGTTGTGAAGAAAAACAAAACTATGTTTCGTTCTTCAATTTCACCAAAAACTCTAGAAAACATTTTAATTGCTAAATGTTATGAGGAAAACTAATTGTTATTGACAGGAAATTTCCAAAAGAAATTTTTGGCTAAAGCCAAAAATGCACTCTAAATTCATTGCAATAATTTTTTTTGTGTAACATTAAGTTCTTGTTTTATGTTTCCTAATAAATTTTTTAGTTACTACTTAATTGAGATTTACTAATGTAAGTACAGTTTTCTTTTTTCTATTTGTATAAATTGTTATTTTTTCAATATCAAAGCATGATATTAATTCTTCGTGTTCTTCTGAATTTTGGAGAAATCTTCTGAATTTTTATCTTTAGAGGTTGGCAGGTATGCATAGTTGCCATGGTTTATTGACAGAGGACAATAGTATGGCATATTAAGTAAATGTAAGAAATCTTTTTGTTTTTGGAATACACAAAAACTTCATCTGTTTAACTGTGCAGCAAAGAATTTAGAAGTATTTCATAAGATAGCATCTGTTTTCAACAATGTAGTAAATAACATGTAAAATTTCAGAATGAAGGCTATTCGTGCAAAACTTATTGTTTAGGAAGTTTGGAAACTTATTGTTTGAGGGAGCTGTTAAAGACAGTGTGGGCTTGCCGAGTAATCCCAGTTTAAAGTAGAAGCTCTCAATTTTCAATCATATTCCAACCAACCTGTTTTACAACATATTTCTCGTAACCATCTTTTATACATAAAATTTCTTATGATTTTTAAGTAAGTTCAAATTTTTTGTTTGCATATTAAAAAGTTAATAAGTTTATTAAATAAACTTAAAAGTTAATAAGTTTTATCAACAATGGACTGTCATTATGTATTTGGGAATATCTGCTTAAAAAGAATCGTAATACAGTTCTATGATAAAAATCGAACACAGCTACACGTCATCTGGTGCACATCAGCTGATGAGCACTAAGTAAGATTAGGGTCGATAATTGTATTTCTGTGGTTGCTATGCAATATAAACTTTGTATGCTTTGAAAACTTGTTAAACATTTGCAATCTTTTGTCATTATTATGTTTTAAAAAAAAAGTAAAATAGTTATGCATGTTTCAAAATTATATACAGATGTCTTTCCTTGTTTTACTTTGTTAAGAAAATATATATTTGTGATGTGTATTGTTTTTCGTGATTTTTTGATATCATGTGGTGAAAGGGATAGCAGAAAACACTAGCATGTAGGATGTTTAAAAAGTAATATAAACAAAAAATACTTTCACTGTGATATTCTTAAAACATATGTGTATACTAATATGCAAGAACTATATGTAAATTCTATTCAAAGAAATTAAAATTGTTCTGTGGAAAGATTGGAGCAACAGTAGCTGTTTCTGTTCTATCAATTCAAGTTTTGCATTTAGTGTTTAATTTAAGATATTTAAAAAAAATTCAGAACCAAAAATTTTTAGAATTTAGTAACACAAATAAGCCCTCATGGTAAATGCTACGAACAAAATTATACAGTCAAAAGTCTTTAATCTGGACTCATCAGGACTTCACTGATTCCGGATTATCTATTTTTCCGGATTATAAGATCATCAGTTTAAATCTGGTAAGATGGCATGCAGAAATTATAAAATTAAAAATATGAAACCGTAATTTATGAAATAAAGAGCAATTATGATCTAAAAGGGTATCAAAATTTACAAAAAAAAAAGCTTAATATTTATTTGTTTACTTTATTAAACATTTCTTTCAACGCACGCATGCGTAAAGCATACATTACGCATAGTCGAAATTAGAAAATTGCAACCGCAAAACTATTTGCTTTGTATTCCTGATATTTATAATGACGAGGAATTTGATTTAAATCATATCAAAGATGGAGTACATCGAGATGAAATACTACATTTAGTAAAGAATTATAAGCCAAATAAAATAAAAACATCTGCCCTGAAGATAAGGATAGTGTTGACAGATCAACTTCCAATTCATTGTGCACCACGTCAGATTATCTATTTTTCCGGATTATAGATCATCAGTTTAAATCTGGTAAGATGGCATGCAGAAATTATAAAATTAAAAATATGAAACCGTAATTTATGAAATAAAGAGCAATTATGATCTAAAGAGTATCAAAATTTACAGGAAAAAAAAAAAAAGCTTAATATTTATTTGTTTACTTTATTAAACATTTCTTTCAATGCGCGCATGCGTAAAGCATACATTACGCATAGTCGAAATTAGAAAATTGCAACCAAAAAACTATTTGCTTTGTATTCGTGATATTTATAATGACGAGAAATTTGATTTAAATCATATCAAAGACGGAGTACATCGAGATGAAATACTACATTTAGTAAGGAATTATAAGCCAAATAAAATAAAAACATCTGCCCTGAAGATAAGGATAGTGCTGACAGATCAACTTCCAGTTCATTGTGTGCCACAGCGTCCCCCCCCCCTTCACAGAGCAGCGTGAAATTGATAAACAGATTTCAGAATGGTTAGAGAAACAAAGGAGCCTTTATCCATTTTTTGCAGCAATTCCACTTTTTGTTTGACGGACATCGAAACATGCTTGCCCTTTGTAGATTCAGCATAGGAAATTCTATTTGACATAATCGAAAGTTCCAACTTACTTTTATAAAATTGCTCTAACAGTCTGAAAAAAAAAAATAAGCCGATTCCTATTCGAAGATTAAGGAACAACACAATCTGCAACATTAACTGAAATAGATAATCAGATAATTTTAGCTTAGCTTATACCGTCCGTTATACATAAAATGCGCATGCGTAAACTTATTATGCGCATGCGTTAAAATATTACGCTCATGTGTCAACGCAAATTTGCGCACAAAGTTTGTAGTTTTGAGGTCCGGATTATAGATCATTCCGGATTATGGGTGTCCAGATTTACGACTTTTGACTGTAAAGCTTCTTTCTTAAAAAAAGCAAAATTCATCTCTATTATTAGCCATTAAATGAAAAAATGCTTAGATATTAATTAAATCGTAAATACTCAGATGTTAATATGTATTTAAAATTGGTTTGCCATTAAAAAAAAGTCATTCGCCGTTTATAGTGTATCAGTGCAAAATGCCAAAACAAAATTACTAAGCCCTTGGGATAAAAATGTTTTTTCTATACAACATTGCCATTGCTCGCTTTGAAATCCTTGAGTTTGTTAATAAAAAACTCATTAATGTTTTACAAAATATGAAATTGATATTTAAATATATACTTGCATGGTTGTTAAAAATTTTCAAAATGTTTTACTGAATATATAAATATAATTTATTTACTTTTGAAACCATTTTGTCTTAGATGCACTGAAAGTATAACAATATTCCTACTAGGTTGAAAAAAGTTGCTTTTAAAATTTGTACTACATAGCTTAATCTAAAATTAAATTTAAGTAATTAAGAAATAAAAGATTTTTAATAGTAATCAGTTTTGTTATTTTTCTGCCTTTCAAACTGTATTTATTTAATAGCTTTATTTCAGTTTGTATCACAAATGTTTTCTCGTGACTTGCTCCAGTTGCAGTAATTAATTGAGCCCTTTTAAACGAAATTTATTTCATAATAAACTTTTAATTTTATATCTGGTATGCTGGGCTTACTTTAAATCAACAGCAGTTATTCTTATTGATTTCTTTTTCCTTAAAACTGCATGTGTATAATTAATTATTAACGTACCATTTTCATGGTTTGATGTAAAGTAATATAGAAAACTTTTCATGCTAGAATAATTTTACTAAAACTAAAAGTCATGTACATTTTACCCTCCTTTTTATATTTTAGATCTCATCTTGTTACTGTGCCACCAGGACCACACCTTTCAGATGCTTTAGTGAGTTCTCCTGTTGTTCAAGGAGAAGATGGTAGTGGTGCAGTTGGTATAGGTGGTATGGGTTTTGAATTTGGAGTTGATCCTAATGAAGATCCTGAATTGGCCTTGGTAAGACTTGAGTAATAATTTTTGCACCTTTGTTTACTTAAAACTCCTTTGTTTTTGAAGTAGCATGCATGAAATACTATATCTTTGGAGCATAAGCACACTTCTAGCATATTATATCCTTAGACACATTACTCCAAATATTTGCAACATACATATATCTGAAGCTTCAGAATTCCCGTAGGAAGTTCAGTTTTGTAACCGATATACTTGCTCTCTTATACAGTTAGTGTCATATGAAATAAATGAGAGAAATGCTTATGTACACATTTGAGAACATCCTGTGAGACTTAACATATAATAGATCTCTGAGTTCAAATAGTTGGCTTGCATGTGACTCCATCAGTGTAAGCGCATTTAAAACTGAAAAGTGAAAGTCCATACTGTTCATTCTTTAGAGATCCTTCAGCCTCTGGCCTCTCAAAACAGCTATACTCCCAACTCAATATAAAAATTCCTCATTCGGCCCATTTCTAACTCTGTTACGATTTATGCTGTTCCCAGAACTTAAAAAGTTTGAATTTAATTTCTCCCAATAACTTCTAACTTAGAAACAGCATCCTGTATTTTAAGCAAATATTTGGTTTCTAGATTTTCCTTGTTACTTTCTAACAATAGTTACTCTGTTTAAAAAAAATTCTTTTGAAGTCATTGATAGACTTGAGAATATTTCTTCCCATCACTCAATTATGTTTTCTTTTGGTGTTAAATTATTATTTACTAATATTTCTGTTAAGAGAACATTAAGATGTTTACCAGACTTTGAGAATTCCATTTCACATTATACTAAAATTTCTCTTACTGAAGTTTCTTTGAGTCAACACTTTGTTTTGCACAATAACTACTGTCACTAAGCTGAAAGATTACCTATGGGTAATCTTCATAGTCCAGTTCTTGCTTACGATTACATATACTATTTGGAAGTTAAATCATTTTAAAAAAATCTTTTAGGTTCTGGATTTGCTATAGTAACACATTCACACATTTTGACAGTAATAAAGAAAACTTAACCAATATTTTGTCTGCTATAAGTTCAGTTGATCCAACGATCCAGTTCACTTTTGAAATTGAATCTGATAATTCCCTTCCTTTCCCTGATATTCTAATTACCTGTAATGAAATTGATTTCATCAGTGCTGTTGCATTACAGTGCTCAATCATATATCTGTTTTGCATTCCTATGCTAAATCTTATCACCCTGGTAAACAAAAAATGGCTTCTTTTTACTCCATGCTTTCAGAGTTTGTTTTTCTGGATCTCTGCTGTCTTGTGAATTTCTTATTTGAAGTCAGTGGTTATCAACAAAGGATTTTCTCCCACAATCATTGATAAAGATCTTTAAAAAAATTCCTGTCTTACCATCAAAAACACACACTGCAATTAGCCATAACAACTTTATTCCTCCTTCTGTCAGATACAAAATTACTCCAATTTTTCAGAAATTCAACTTTTAGGTTACTTTCTCACCTATCGGTAAAATTTGTTCAATTCTTAAAAATCCCATCTCTTGATTTTTAACACTCCATCGGTCACATGTTTCGGAACATGTTTGTGTGCATTGAGCCTGAGAGGCACTTCTTGATTTACTAAACTTGATTTACTAAATTGGCTCGTTTACCCTGCGAGTATATCCTTCATCTGATAAATAACACTTGCTCCCATAATAAACTGAAAACAAGGCTTTCCAAAATGCAAAGGGAAGTATGTGGTATATAAGCGATAAAAGCATAATAGAACTTCACAAAGTATATGGTCAGACATATTGATTAAGGATCTCGTCTCGATATCTCACAGCAGTCAAAATTGCTCCATGGAACACATGCAGGTCAATGTGACCGCCGAGAGAGATCCCAGCACAAACCATTATTCCACCATCTCTGTAACTGTGTCATTCCACAGTAGTAACCCTAAAAGATCCTGCATAGTAGAGGGGGAAAAGGAAGTAAAAAAGGATCACAATGTTTATATCATGTGGCAATATAAAGAGATGATCTCTGTTTGTTTACATCACACTCCTCCACCACAAAAGCTAACACCACATTTTCAGAATGTGATCATATTGAAGATCAATATCCTAAAACTGCATTCAAAAGTAATGCGCAGGACATCATCTAGTGGTCTTTAAAAAGTTCTAGGAGCTGATGCAAATGTGTGATGGGCGAGGTGTACGAGAAAAGAATCTGGCACACAAGCAAGCAATGCTTCATGCTTCTTGCTAGTCTGCGTGAAAGATTATAATATTGTATACTATTAACAGCAATTTATCTCAACATTTTGAAATGAAGTGGCATTTTTCTTCTTCTTCTTCTCTTTTTTAATGAAAAGTATATTTGTAATGTTTATATTAGCTGTATGTATTCCTTTTAATTTATATTCTTATGAATTTCCTCCCTTTTATGTGCCTCTTTGTTTATCCAAACAAGTCCTCTCTTAAACTGACTATTTTTTAATAGGCTCTTAGAGTATCTATGGAAGAACAAAGACAACGACAAGAAGAAGAAGCCAGAAGAACAGTTTCTGCAACAAGCAATGAATCCGCTGCAACTTGTGGTACAAATGGTAAGTAGTTTCTTGTATTTAAGAGAGCTGGCTATAACGAAATCCCCCCCCCTCTTTGCTTAATCTAAAAATTGGTCTTCTCTTACTGCATTGCTTTATTTGCAGCTAACTTTTTTGTTGTTAGGACAGCTTACAGTGTAGTTCAAAATTTGTAGTTTGGGAGTGACATATTTGTAAAGTAAATTTAAAAAAAAATTAAATATGGGGAAAGGATGTAATATATGATCTGTTATTTTTAGTTATTTGCTTTTTAGATGGTTGCTCTAAAATTCTTTGTTTTAGTAACATCTGCAGGATTGACTGAAGTTCTTTTCAATCCTTCATATATTACTAAACAGTTAAACAATGCTGGGAGGATTTTAAACTTAAATATTCTACACAACATATGAAGTATCACATTACAAATGCATCCATGTTATCTTGGAGAAGCATGGCGGAGATACATCATTAAAAATTATGACTATTTTGAGGCCCATGCTATATTCAAATATATGAGATTACGAATGTAATCTCATATATTTGAATGACTTGTAAAAATGACCCTTTCAAGGGCCACTCCTGGTTTTGCTTTGTCAAATTGAAAGAAATATAATGGAGAAAAAATTAATAAATTATGTAATAAATAATTTCCATTTATGCATTCTTAATTATTTTTATGTTTGCCCTAACCAAAGAAATAAATAACTCAAATGGTAAATCGCATACTACATCATTATCAAATATGGTATAGAATAGTAGTAATCAAACTGTGGGTCGCAATCCCATTTGGGATCACTAAAATTTATATTGAGGTCACAAGGTAGATAAAAGTCCTAAAAATTCTGAATTGATGATGTGTAACTAGGTGCCGATACTATGGGATTGAGATTGCATTGCCATAAAATTCGAATATCACTGGTATAGAAGGTACATAAATTGAAGGATAGAGAAGAGTGAATACCTATTAAGCTGTCTAATTATGATTTTTCAATATTTATAATTTGTAAAGAATACTGTTGGAAAAAATTTAATTTCATTAGTTTATTTTAAACTTTATCTGCTGATGGATTTTAATGGCCTATATTTAAGGTTAACACAGTTTTGTTTGTTCTTGCAGTTTGGGGCTTTTAATCAAAAAGAAAGATTTTCTGTTCTGGTTTATGTTGTAGGTCAAATTAAAGGATTAGGTTTCACTACTAGAAAAATATATGCATAAACAAATATTTATGGTATTGACATCACATGTAAATATTCTATGATAATAATGTGTATTATGTAGAACAGTTTATATTTGAGCACTTCAACAGATGATTGGGCACATTAATAAAATAAAGACATGAAGAAGTGATTATGGAAATAGTTAAAAATCACATTTACATATAATATTTTAAATTACAGGTAGCAATGAGGAAGCTATGCTCGAACAAGCTGTTGCAATGTCTTTGGCTACTGATACCACTCCGGCTGCAAGTGCTCCATCAGTTCCAGATTTTGCTTCTATGACAGAAGAAGAGCAAATTGCTTATGCAATGCAGATGTCTTTGCAACAATCTCGTAAGTAAAGACTTTTTTTTTTTTTTTGAGAAAGAACCAAATTGTTTTAACTCGCCAAGCATAGAGGTTGCCTAAAGCTTCTCTAAAATTGCCTTGAATAAGTAGTATATTCACTATGCACTGACAAGATCCAATTTGAGAAAGCTATATATTTTTATAAGGTTTTTTTTTAACTGATGATCTGGATTGTTAGATCCTCAATAGGTAGAGTTGTGAAAGTTAATTTTATCAGTAAATGTAACATTATTAGTTCAGACAGTTTAGCATAGAAACTTTTCTCATTCCATTGTATATGTTATAAAATATTATACATAAAACTGCTTACTTTATGATCCACTGTGTTTCGTCTTTCTTGAAAAGATGAAATGTACTTGAAAGTAACTTTTTCCTTTGACAACATCTCCAAAATTGATGAATATTTGATTTTATGTCCCTGTCTCATAACCTATTTGCTTGGTTCACTTATTTTATTGAACATTTCCGTCATCCCTTCTTATCTTGCTGGGATCATCAATATGAGAGATATTCCAGAATATATATTTATATTATTACAAAACATTTTTTTTAAATCTAATATAAGCATACCTAGTATTTTTGCACACTAAGCTACTGAAAAATTATCAGTAAAGACATAAAGTAAGAACTTTAGGACCAGTTTTTCATAAAGACCAAAAATTGAAATTCATAAGTAATAAATTTCATAAATCCAATAAATGTATAAAAGAATTTAATAAATGTTAAAACTAAATTACCTCAAACAAGTAATACCATAATTAAAAAAATCAATGGCTTTTAAAGAATAAAGAATGCAAAAGAAGATGAATTCAATCAACTTCAATGCCACTTTGTCGAGATAAGGAACTTTGAAATCAATCAAAATCTCTCTTCCATAAAAGATCCTTTCTTTTCTGTATCCAGAATTAGCCGATAAACCATTCCAGTGTATTTTTAATTATAATAGTTTACCCAAAAATTCTGGCCCCTCCCCAAAGCAAGGAAAAAACAAAGTAAATTCTATTAAAAATTTTACCTTTAAACGAAGAGAACTCAGTCCAAAGAATTGAAAACGTAAGTGAAATAATAAAATACTTTCGTAAAAAATTCAAATCAAACTTCTACCTTTAAACAAAGAGGACTTCATCTAAAGAATTGAAAACGTAAAGGAAATTATAAAAATTTAGTGAAAACACTTAATCCACACGGAAATGAAATATAAATTCACAAGAAATAATTAAAAACTTTGAGCGTTCAAACTTTTTAATTAATAAATGCTACTAATATAATAACTGCATAATGCTACTAAGATATAATTTGTGAAAATAGATTAAGTTAAAATTAAAACTAAACTGGCAAAAGTATAAAACAAGTAAAAGTATAAACAATAAAATGTTAATTGATCAAATTAATTCTACTGCAAATTAAAAATGGAGTAAATTAATTTTTTTTTTTAATTATAAACTGAAAATGGACTTTTCAGTATTTTTTGTCATATCATATCAATTAAAATATAGCAGTATTAATGACTAAAAATGCATGCTTAATGGATGGCAGTTCTTTAACCATTCACCAAGAGCTGTTGTTGGGAAGCGTACCAAAAAATTTAATTTCCTTTTAATGTAAGCACTAGCATTCTTTCCTTTATTATTTACTGCCAGCATCTCTGACCTATTTTTTATGTGTGTTATGTTTGCATATATGTGTGCTTTTGTTTTGCTCATGTTCCATTAGTGTTTAAAAAACAAAACCTTAAATAAACTGATGCATCTCAGTGAAACTGACTCCCCCTTGTTTGCAAATGGATGGAGTCTCCCCCCCCCCATCTGGCAGAGTGAGGATCTTTTTCAAGTACGTAGATTTTAGGAACTAGTTCCTCGAATCCCCCAGCTGTCAGCGCTTCAGCGCTAGTCGCAGATCCTGGTCCTTCAAAGTCATGATTTACACTACTCTTGCTCTAGCTGCAGATTGCATTCTGGGGGAGTCTTATTATTCGCTCCACTCTTGCTCTAGCGTCAAATCTGGCTCCTGCAGACACTGATTATTTGCGATTTCCGCATCCTCACAGCTTGTTCCCTTGAGTTTCATTTCGATTCTTTGAATAGTATAGCTATGTATATTCACTATTAGCTATTTCATACAGTATTACTGAAATATTTATGAAAGATAATAAATTTTTAATTATTTACTTATTTTACTAATGTCTTGTAATCAAGAGTTGTGAATTTGTCGTTAGTCTTCTTTAAATTTAGTATATATTTATAAACATAAATTTTTCCGCCTAATGTATTTTTTCAAGGTTGCAGAACAAAATATGGACCCTACTGCATAGAAGAACCTCGAGCAATATTTGATATCATTTTGTCAAATTAGATTTAAAAAAGTGGAAAATACCAGTATTGTCAGTAGACAATTTTTGGGATATGCTTCTAATCTAAAATTTTATTTTTACACTGTGCTTTGTAGTAGCAACAAAATGTTAATTATAGTAAAATAATGTAATCTTTAAAAAAATGAGTTTAGTTTTCATTATTTTTAAACTTTTTATCCCAGATTTTTTGTTGTTCTGTGTAGAAATGGTTTTTTTTTTTTTTTTTTTTTTTTTTTTTTAGAGAGAGAGAGAATCTCAGATGTACAATTGAAAGAAATCAGTCCAGAGAGTGAACAGTTTGGTTGAGTTGATTCCAGCAATCCCACTCCTTGTTTAATTCTTTCTGCTTTCCCCCCCCCCATCTTTGCACACCACTCTTGATCCATGCCTGTTCCGAGCACATTAATCAAGGCCATTGTTAGTCAGCAGTGAATTGTTAAAAGAACAGATTCACTTCAGTGAGCAAATGTTCTGATCTGATTCCTTAAAGGAATAGTTTTGCCCATCTCTGTTAATGACTAAAAAGTGGAAAAGGCTGTATTATCTTCAGACTAAGTTGTCAAGACGAGTTAAAGCCATCTTATGAAAATATGCTTTTTCCGAGCAGATTTATTCTGTTTCTGTAAGCTTAAAATTATCCGAGGCACTGAATAATAATATAAATGCTTTCAGTACCCCTAAAAATTAAAATTTGCTCCATTACAGAACAAATCTACCCCCTCCCCAACATACACATTAAAAGAAACATATTCAGTAGTTACCTGTCCTATATACAAATACAACTGAATAAAATTCAAATAAATATGAAAAAAATGTAGAACTCCTAAATTTTTTTAAATCTATTATTTTGGGCAAAAAATTTAAAAATTCACGTCATTAAATACAAATTTAAAAAAAATCATTACAAAAATTGATACACAACCAAAATGTAATTACTTGCATCTCTCTGAACCTTTGGTAAAACAAATAACCATTATAATCTGGAATTGTTTAGAGGGTGATTAAAGAATGTGCAGACAGCTTTGCTTTTGACAAATTTATCCTTGCCATGTAGTACTGGTGAAAAAAAATTGGAATAAAAAAAAGAAAAGAAAAAAATCTAATAAATTAGTTTGGTTAAGTAATGAAAAAAGAATCCGCAGACATTCTATCGTATTCTTTCTCAGAATAAAACACAATAAATCTGCTTGAAAAAGCTGTATTGTTATTAGAAGGTTTTACCTTCTCTTGCAAATGTAAGAGTTTGAAGATTACAGCCTTTTCCATTTTTTAGTCATTTATAGCCCTATATTTTAATTTGAATCATATGGCAAAAATTATTTTGTGTCCATTTTCAGTTTTTAATTTTTGAAAAATTTCACTTTACTCCATTTTTAATTTGCAGTACCATTAATTTTATCATTTATTCTCTTAGTTTTTATTTTGCGTGTTTAATTTCAACTTAATTTCTCTATATATATATAATGTTAATTTATTATTATTGTTGTTTTTTAATCAGCTCTATTCAGATGGAGATTTACTACAAAAAATTTGCAAAATAAAGTTAATTTAATTTTTAAGTTAAAAACATGAGTGGATAAAGGAATATTTTTCCTTGGGAAAAGTACTTAGTGTTCCCCCCCCCCTTTGAAATAAGCAATAGTGTTTTTTAGGAAATGCATTTCAACTTTGGAATAAGCAAAATTCAATCTAAGACTGGCATTAATTGTAGGAAAAGAATTTATGTTTTTATGAAAATCTGAAATAAGTCCTTCCTTTCTTCAGGAAAGAAAAGAAAAATTTTACATTCCCTTTCTTAAAGACGCATTCGAAGTTAGATTTTCTATAATTAATATCTATCTGAAGCTGAAATTTCCTTAAGTTGGAAGGTGGGGTATATATTTTTTTAATTATTTGCAGTGGGTTTTATTAGTAATTTTTTATAGTTTAAATAATTAGTTGAGTGAACATTTTAATAAAATTTCATTTCTTCAATGCAGATGATGGTTCAGATGAGGAAAGTGGTACTCCTATGGAAACGGATGATAAAGATCAAACTAAGGTATATGTTTTACTTTTTAATATAATTTTAAAAAGTTACATTCTGTCCTCGTCAAAATATCAAATGCTTATCTTTAGGTTTCAAAAGGGCACTCCAGATGTAAATGCTGAAGTAAAACATTTGATTACAAAGTTTCATCGACCACGAAAATTGGCAGAATTCGCTCCAGATTTGTACCAGTCATTCCAGCAGAAATTTAAAGAAACAGATTGCTTTTTATTTAGTTAATTAACCTTTTCGCCATCCTCTCCTGTCCGCAAAAATTTCCCCCCAGCGGTGACGTCTGTTTTTCGTAGCATGTAATGTTATTTTCTCTGTACATCTTAACTTTCCATACATGACTTTCGTAGTGGATGAATGTCAATGAATATTAAGTAAAATTATAAGGAAATAAAGCATAATGGAAAAATAATAATATATCTCCTTATTTCTAACAGCAGGCTAATTTGATAACATCTGATCCAGGTGGTCTACACCTCCCATTTTGTTGTTGTAATCTTTTACAATTATTGTTTTTTTTACAGTTCTTTTCCGTGTTCCAACATCAATCATAAGTTATTATAGACTATACTCATCAAACGTATATCCTTCTTGTCTTTCCAATTCACAACCTCATTTTTTCTCTTTTTCTGCTGAGTAGACGTTGAAGCCATCTCTCACTGTAGAAGAACGCTTGAGGCACGTTACAGCCGCCCTGCGGAAGTTTCACTTGAATGCGCTAGATGCATTACGGACGACGAAGAGGTTAACATACAGAAGTTATGGACATGACATATTAATGCCTGTCGTAATTTTTCACATTGCACAGTCGGTGTTTATTCATTTTCATGTATGTCGCATGTTTTGAAGCCAGGATCTCATAAATTTGAAAATATTCTACTGTATGCTATTCTGCTGAAGGCAAGTCCCAAAATTTAATATTTTTTTTTAAATGCAATTAAAAATCAAGTAAACAGTAGTTAACTTATATAGTTTTTTTACAAACGTTAAACAGACTTATTGAGAATAAACCAGGTTTATATAAAGCCAAACATTACGACATGATTGTTAATTATTGGTGCTAATTCACAGTGTTTAGCGATAGATTTTGTTTGATTCAAATTGTAGTTTTATTCGAGTCGCCCACCAACGGCCGAGCGGTAAAGTCGCTGAACACTGGTAGTTCGGTCCGAGGTTCGAATCCCGCAAATGGGCAGACTACATGGGCATTTTCATGGTTTTACCCATGTGTAACATGAATACGAGCCAGTTTCCCTTAGAAAGCCCTCCACGAAGGCATCCCTTCCCTTAGGCAGATAGCCGTAGTGTTCTCTGCCATAATTAAATAAACCAAACCAAACCTTATTCGAGTCGCTGTATAAAAAAGTTACAAATCTCTTATTTGCTTAGTTTTTTGTTAAGAAGAAAAAAGTTTCTAAAATTAAACAATATTCCAGTTGTTTTAGGTTTCCATTTAGTTGAATGCCAGATGATGAAACAATCGCACATTGTAATGAAAGCACTTTGCTGGATATTGATATATATATATAATGAAACATTCACACATTTTAATGAAAGCGCTTAGCAATATTGATGGCATAATACTTAACAATGTGTGTCTGAAAAGTTTGGGTTGCCCTGTGTAGAATGAAATGCACATGAATACACATTGAGAGACATGCCAGCAAGTGCCGCTCTGGTACAAATCACCGAAGTGAAGCAGTGGTTCACACTGTGACTAAGCTAATGGAGTCAGTGTGAGAACTCATGTCATTGTAAAATGGAGCATGGCGTTGACCGGTGGCGTAAATAAGGGTATGCAAGGAATGCAGTCGCATAGGGGTCCGAAGGCTTAGGAGGCCCATGAATGTCCTGCTGAACTACATTTACATAGTTAAACTTAAAACACGTATAAAAATCATGTATTCGAGTAGTTTAGTGTACCAAAAAGTTTTCTTAAAAGAAAGGGGGAAAAACTTTACATATTTTCTACAAAAATTGTAAGTTCAAATAGTTTTCTTTATGAAATTTATGATAAGTATGTTTTATATTTAACAAATGTATCATTTACATTATAAAAGTTCCTATTTATGACTTGCATTTTATCGAATAAGTTATGTTCATAAGCTCAGTTGATCACAGGGCGCTGTATATTAGTGTAATTTCTTTTTTGTACCTGTCATGTTGTCTGTCAGTTTATAACATAGCTATTTACTAGCTTGCTAAATTAAGCGAAAAAAAACTTAGATTGGCGCAGATTTTATATAGAAACTCAATATATACTTGCATGTAAAACTTACTGGGTTTTATTTAAAAATTTCCGCAAATGTAGACTTCCTTCCCCCCATTTTTTAAGCATAGTAAATTCATTTGGGGGGAGCAGGAAAATTTTTTGTACAGGGCCCAAGAGTTCTAGCTATGCCACTGGCATTAACATGAAGTTTTACTTCAAATTAGGGAAAACGGAGACTCGCAAAATGTTAATGCAAGTGTGATGGTGTTGAAGCAGTGAGTAAAAAGGATATATTTGATTGGTTTAAATTCTTCAAATGCTTTTGGATCAAACGTCAACAAGTCCAATCCCAGCCAGAACGTGGATTTTTGAGGATGATTGGCGTCTGTCTTTAAGAATGACGGCAGAAAAGTTGAAGATAAGCAAAGGCAGTGTAAGTACTATTGATTGTGAACATTTCAAAAAGCAGAAGATTTGTGCTCGTTTGTACCATGCATGCTGACAAACGAGCAGAAACAAACTCGGATGTAATTCTGTTCTTCAGCACCCTTCTCATTCTCCAGATTTTTTGCTGTCAGACTTCTATTTGTTTCTCTGCCTTAAATTAACCCTGAAAGGCTTATCCTTAGCAGACGTTGCAGATATCCAACAATGCATGACCACAGTACTTTGAGTGATTGCACAAAAAGCATTTGCTGACAGTTTCCAACAGCTTTACAACCGATGTCAGAAGTGTGTTGTAGTTAATGGTGATTACTTTGAAGGCCAGTATAGGTATTTTGTTTGTAGCTCTTGCTTGAGACTGGTCCCACCAGTGGCCGAGCGGTAAAGTCGCTGAACACTGGTAGTTCAGTCCGAGGTTCGAATCCCGCAAACGGGTTGACTGCATAGGCGTTTTCGTGGTTTTCCCCATGTGTAACGTGTATACGAGCCAAGAAAGTCCTCCACGAAGGCATCCCTCCCCTTAGGCAGATAGCCTTAGTGAGCTTTGTCATGATTAAGTAAACCAAACCAAAAACTTATTTGAGACCATTCACCAAAGTTTTCAGACACACCTTATAGGATAGCCTAGGATGTAGAATGTTGAATCCATAAGCAGGGCTATAAAGCATAAAAGGAAAAAAGCATTGAATTACCTGGATTGCAAATCAAAAATATAACTGTTGTTTTACGTGATAACCCGCCCCCCCCCTGAAAAAAATTAAGCTCAAGTGATGTTTTATTTCATTCTAGTTCGACAAACAAAGTTACAGTGCTTAGTATCAAAAATTATTCAATTTTTAATTTCAGCAATCATTAAAATGTTTTAGTGCTGATTGTAGTAATATTATTGTTTTAATCACTGCAGTTAAAGAAACTGTAGTGATTAAAAGAAGCACTTGGTATTAAAAAATGTGATGAAAATATGACAGTAGTTAGTAACCATGAACAAACACCAATGAGGAATTTAGCAAAACATTACAAATAATAGGTAGCTTTAAAAGGGCTGGAAATGAAATAAGTTGTTAACTGTTACAGATTATAGAACTCCCTCGAGAGCTTTTTCGAGATTTAGAAGCAGAAATAAGCCCATATTGTTAATTAAAAAAATAAATAATTATTAAATAGTATTTTGACAAGAATGCCTAATTCAACTGTGTTAAAAGCGTCTAGATTATACTGTATAATGATTTAGGTGTAGCCTATCATGAAAAACGGCAGCATCTTTTAGCATTTTAATCAATAAACAAAGCTGTTTCGTAAAATCTTTGCTGTTATTAGAAATAATTTTATTCTTTTTGTTTGATTAGTAATAGTATTCTAAAAATTTTGAATTTCAATTAATTAGCTTGTTTTGAAATTGAAAAGTCTTCTTTTAACAAATAAAGTAATATTTTTGAGATTGTAAATTTGTAGGTCAAGGTGATCTGCTTTGATGTCATCTTTGTTAGTTTGACTAAGTTTAAGGCATTTAGGATTGATGTCTTGTTTCACAATTTCATTGTAATTATTAATGGCAGTGATATCATCAATATATGTGAGGTAAATTTCAAAAGTCCTGGTTAATGATAATTGTTAATAAAATTATATTCCTTAAAAAAAAAAAGTCGCAGGTTACAGTTGGCAGTTGAATTGTTGTTATCAATAGATTTAATAATTTATAGGAATTAATTTATAGGAAACTTTTACTTTGATGTTTAAAAAGATTGTAAAAAGTGTATATATAAGATAGAATTCTCATTTCTTGAAATCAGTAAAGCCTTTAAGTTTAATGCTAGAAAATAGGTTACAGAGCTGAATTATGCTATTGTTATTTCATTAAGTGGAAGGGTAGTGTATAAGTTCTCAAAACTCATAGCAGTTAACGTTGTAAATTGTTTGTTTGTGGTTTTAATAACACTCTGGTTATTGTTGATTATCTAATTGTTATGTAATCAGTGTTTATTTGTTTCTAGACCTCAATACAAACTTTTCTGAGAATTTGGGTAAAATTTATATTGAACCCTTTTTGTAATTATCCACCATATTAGCTAAAAATTTGATTAAATTTTTATGAAATTTTGGTAGTGCATGGAGTATTTGGTAGTGCATGGAGTAATTGGAGAATTTATTATAGTGATTTTAAGTTTTTTATGAAATGCTTTAAATCTATTAATAAAAGTATTTTCTTGATTTTTAGAGGTCTAGTTAAGTAAATTTATTATTTAGTTCATTGTTAATAATTTCTTGACAGCCTATTTTACAAGTAATACAAAAATTGTTGTTAGCTTTGTCAATAGTGGTTAAACTAAATTTTTAAGCTCTTCTG